GGGCGCCTGGAGGCGGAGCGGGGTCGGTGGCGGGGGCTGCCGCGGAGCTCCTAGTGGCGTCACCGCCTGTGACTTTTCCCGGGATCGGACACGCGCTGGGGTGCTGGGAACCCGGCTGGGCCTGGGGCCAGGGTCTAAGAGAAGGGTGGGGGTCCGCTTCCGGGGTCTAAACCGGGGAGGGATCTGGAGCTCTGGAGGAGGTGGAGGCTGGAGGCCTGGGCCCCTCTGCGAGCTCTCAAAGAGAAGAGCCGGGAATACAGGTATTTGGGTCTCCAAGACAGAGGGCCTGGGGATCAACAGAAGGGGTCCGGGTTCCTGGATCCTTGAAGGAGGAGGGGGTTGCGAAATCTGGATCCCTGGGTTTTCCAAGAGGAAGAGTTCGGAAGGGGGCAGTTTCTGGCTTCTCAGTGGAGGGGTGTCGCGATATTTGGGTCTCCATCAGGGGTGGGGGGATGGCTTTAATAGCTACGTTTTCAAAGGCTTGGCCCTAGGGGTCCTCTGTCTTAGAGGGAGGAGGGGGCTGGGGGTCCGGATTCCTAGGCTCTCCAAGGAATGGAGCTGAGCTTGGGACTCCAGAATCCTCAAAAACACGGGGGTTTGGGGGCATCCGGATTCCTGGGATCTCACCACGAACTTCTGCCCTTCCCCCCAGACTATGTCGCCTGAAGAGTGGACATATCTAGTGGTTCTTCTTATCTCCATCCCCATCGGCTTCCTCTTTAAGAAAGCGGGTGAGTCAGGTTCCCTCCCCAGTGGAAAACAAGAGGGTAGGGGAAGAACTTGGGTAAGGGACCCTCTGGAAGGTTCCAGGCTTATGCTGTTCCTTTTCCCTGCAGGACCTGGACTGAAGAGATGGGGGGCAGCCGCTGTGGGCCTGGGGCTCACTTTGTTCACCTGTGGCCCCCACACTTTGCATTCTCTGATCACGATCCTTGGGACCTGGGCCCTCATTCAGGCCCAGCCCTGGTGAGAGTCTGGGGAGGGAAAAAGGGGGACGGAGGAGGAAGCAACCTGCTTCCTCTCTGGGTCTTTCTCAGCTTCTGCCTCTGTCTCTGGGTGTGTCTTGCTTATCGGTGTTTTTCTCCATGTCATTTGATCAACTTCTCTTCCTCCCTGCCTAGCTCTTCATCTCTGAGTTTGACCCAGTGCTCTACACACTTGTATGCTGGGCCTGCCGCATCCATATTCATTCATACCCCTCACCCCTTATCTTGAGCTCTGGATCTTGCAAATAAAACAGGGAGGCTTGAAGGGTCTTCACCCTGAAGCTTCTCCTATCCCCTCCCCATTCTCTTCTCTGTTGTGATGTGTTTCTATAAGGAGGTACCCAAAAATACCCAGAATTTATTCATTAAAAATTGTATATTTATTCTTACACGTCAAAGCTTCAGTCACCTGCAAAGTACTCTCCATTTGATCATTTGATGCAGTACACCTATTGAGACGCATTCTCCAATGCTCAAAACGGTTTTTGAGCTTGCGCACTTTGATGCCTTTTAGTGCTTCTGCCGTTTTTTGTTTCACCTCTTCCACATAGGCAAAACATTTCTCTTTAGGGACTTTTTTCACCATGAAAACAAAACAGTCGCTGGAAGGGTTGAGTGAATAGGGAGGGTGGACACGGAGGTCATGCCATTTTTAGTCAAAAACTGCTGAACACTCATTGCAGTGTGGGCAGATGCGCTTGTAAATCACCCATCATGAAATGGGCAAATGGGTGGAGAGAATCTCCAAAAAAAATTCACTGAAGCCAAATGCAGCCTCTCACAACAACACTAGCTGGTATACTGATGCTGCAGCATTCCTAGAACACTTATGTAGTGGGGGAAGCCTGTCCTACAAGAGACCCTCCCTCCAAAAGATAGTTCCAGGTTTTTTGGGGTCCCCCTTGTATCTGGCTGTTCCTCTTCTCCCACTGTTTCACTCATATTCATTCTGTTCCTACCTCCTACCCTTCAGTTGTCTCTCTCTGTCCTCCCATTTTCTGTCTCTCAACGGGGAGAGGTGGCAGAGGCTGAGACCTCTGCACCCAGTACAGCCGGCCTCCTGCCTTTGCCCAGCTCCTGCCACGCCCTGGCCCTGGCCTGGACCTTCTCCTATCTCCTGTTCTTCCGAGCCCTCAGCCTGCTGGGCCTGCCCACCCCAACGCCCTTCACCAATGCCGTCCAGCTGTTGCTGACACTGAAGGTCAGACTCCCCTCCATCCTCCCTGGGGGTGCAGGATTTCACCTCACCCTGCCCTGGGGATAGGGTCCACCGCTTGCATGCTCTCAGGCGGATCATCACGTCTCAGCACGTCCTGGGTAGAATAGCCCAAGCAGTGTTACAGTAGGTACCATTTGGTGCTTGCTGTGTGCCAGTCTGAGCTGGGTGCTTTACTGAAAGTTCTGTAGCCAGCCATTTTGCAAAAGAGGAAAACTCGCACTAGGAGAAGGTACTCAGTTAAGGGCACAAAACTGGGGCACCCACGTCTGGCTCCTGATCACCTGGGAGATGGTGAAAGAGACTCCCAGGCCCCACCCCCAGACCTACAAAGTCATGAACTCCTACAGTGTGCTGGGCTTGGCGTCTTGCCAATGAACAGAGAGCCCTTTTTGAGGTCCCGAGCCAGGCCTCCATTCCCAGTGGAAGCTCAGGGATGGCAGGAGTAGGCTGGCTGAGGGAAGAGCTAAAGGAAGAGCTTTCAGAGGACCAGCAGTATGGAGGGAACAGGTTATGCCACAGGCCCACCAACCAAATCGACTTTCTGCAAGAGCAGTAAGCTCACGCTTATAATCCCAGCACACTGGGAGGCCCAGGTGGGAGGAGGATCACTTGAACCCAGGAGTTCCAGACCAGCCTGGGCAACAAAGCAAGACCTCGTCTCTACAAACAAACAACAAAAAAAAGAAATTAGCCAGGTGTGGTGGCACACACCTGTAGTCCCAGCTGCTCAGCAGGCTGAGATGGGAGGATCACTAGAGTCCAGGAGGTCTAGGCTGCAGCGAGCAGAATCGCCTCACTGCACTAGCTTGGGCAACAGAGTGAGACCCTGTCTCAAAAAAAGAAGAAAAGCCAGGCTTGGTGGCTCAGCTTGTAATCCCACGCCTTTGGGAGGCTGAGGTGAGTAGATTGCCTGAGCCTGCGGGTTCGAGACCCGCCTGGACAGCGAGACCTCATCTCTGCAATAAATCAAAAAATCAGCCGGGCGGCACGCCTGTAATTCTAGCTAATTGGAAGGCTGAGGCGGAAGGATCGCCGGAGCCCAGCAGGTCGAGGCTGCGGTGGCCAGGAGCGGCCACTGCACTCCAGTCTGGGCAACAGAGTGAGACTCCAACTCAAAAAAAAAAAAAGAAAAGAAAAAAAAAGAGCAAAGGGACGGGGTAGGAGTTCCCAAACCACACATGGCCCGACCAGCCACCATAAGGAGTTTGAACTTCTATAAGGGACCAAGATCAGCTGAAAGAGGTTTTATGGTTTGTTGCCAGAAGAGATGATGCAAACAGATTTACAAGTTTAAAAATACTGGGAATGCTGAAAGACATTCTGAAGTGGAAAAGGGCAAGCTGGGATGAGGTAGGGTCCTTTATCCAAGTCCAGGTGATGAACTGTGGTGGCTTGATGTTGGTAGGTCAGAGTTCCAACAGGAAGACTGTGTTTAGGATGATTTGGGGATCATTTGTTTACCAGATATGGGCCAGAAGTAGAGAAGAAGGAATAGTGCTGGAATTCTGGGCCAGCAGCCACGAGGAGCCATTGCCAACACTGGGCCCAGGAGGACAGAAGAGGGGCAGCTTGTGGAACCTGGAAGGAAACAGGGTTGTGTAGCTCTCACCTTGAAATAGTCCATCAAGGGGTAATGGCCAGCCTGAGGCCACCCCACAAGGGAAGAAATGCCCCGCTCCTCCCTCTCCCACCTTCACCTCCAGCTGGGCCTCTCTAGCCAAACTCAGAGACCTGTGGGTATAGAGTTGGCCTTGGATCTGGGTGAAGAAGGGTAGTGGGTAGATTTGGAGGGGCAGGTGGAACACAACCCAGTGGTGGAAATGCAGGGAACAGACTTGAGATTCAGGGATTGGATTTGGAGAGCAAGGGCAGTTTTTGGCCTGAGCAGTTAATTGGATGGTGACAGCCTTATCTCTGAGGGGAGAGGACCCACGGTGGAGTCCATTTCAGATGGGTTAGATCTGATGAGCCATCCCAGTGTTAATGGCAAAGGCAATGCAATGGGTGTGTCTGGGCCCCGGGGAGAGGTCCAGACTGAGATAGAGTTTGGGAGGCAGCAGCATGTGGATGGTGTCTAGAGCTCCAGCATTGTATGAGCACTGAAGGACAGAACAGAGAAGAAGGGAGGAGGGGCTGGGTGCCGTGGCTCACGCCTGTCATCCCAGCACTTTGGGAAGCCAAGGTGGGAGGATCACTTGAGGCTAGGAGTTTGAGACCAGTCTGAACAACAAAGGGAGACCCTTGTCTCTACAAAAAATTAAAAAATCAGCCAGGCGTGGTGGTGCACACCTGTAGTCCCAGCTACTCAGGAGGCTGAGGCAGGAGGATCTCTTGAGCCCTGGTGTTCAAGACTATAGTTTGCCATGATTGTGCCACTATTCTCCAGCCTGGACAACAGAGTGAGACCCTGTCTCACAGAGGGGGAGAGGAGGTCTGGGACTGAGTGCAGGGTTGCACCCATCCGCTTACACACAGCCTAGATGCTTCCAGCTGTGGGTTCCCAGCATCCCCACTGGCTGCTGAAGGTGGCAGCCTAAGGGAGATGGGGATCTGACCGGGTCCCCTGCCGGCCCCTTTCCTCCCAGCTGGTGAGCCTGGCCAGTGAAGTCCAGGACCTGCATCTGGCCCAGAGGAAAGAAATGGCCTCGGGCCTCAGCAAGGGGCCCACCCTGGGGCTGCTTCCTGACGTTCCATCCCTGATGGAAACACTCAGCTACAGCTACTGCTACGTGGGAATCCTGACAGGTGAGTGGGCCTGCCCGCCGGCCCTGTCCCTCCGCCTCTCCATTGCTGTGTCCCTGCCTCCACCCTGAGTCTGGCACCTGCTCTGTGTTCCCACCCTGCCCTGGGCTACCTCCGCTCTAGCATCTGCTGCTCTGGGGAGAGCATCTCTGTCTGACTGTCCTTCCGGGCAGAGGCTAACTGTCCTCGGCCTAAATGGCTCCTTGCTTTTCTCCTTGTAGCTCACTGGGAGCAAATAAAAGAGGTAAAGGAGACAGGTCTATGTAAACCTGATGTTTTTACCGCCCAGGAAACAGATATTTACAGCTTGGGATTCACTTTTAATTTAAGAAAATACTTTTCATTAACGTTTACTTCACAAAAGGACTTCTGTTGTTATTGTTGCTGTTGCTCTTTGGTTTTGAGTGGGCATCTCACTCTGTCACCCAGGCTGGATTGCAGTGGCATGATCATAGCTCACTGCAGCCTTGACCCCCTGGGTTCAGGCGCTCCTCTTGCCTCAGTCTCTCAAGTAGCTGGGACTTCAGGTGCATGTCACTATGCCTGGCTAATTTTTTTATTTTGAGTTGGAGTCTCTGTCGCCTAGGTTGGAGTGCAGTGGCATGAACATGGCTACTGCAGTGTCCACCTGCTGGGCTCAGGCAATTCTTCCACCTCAGCCTTCCAAGTAGCTGGAACTAGGCAGGTGCCACCATACCTGGCTAACTTTTTGATTGATTGTAGAGATGAGGTCTTGCCAAGTTGCCCAGGTTGGTCTTGAACCTCTGGGTTCAGGCAGTCCTCTCAACTCCACCTCCCAAATTTCTGGAATTGCAGGCACGAGCCACCATGTGCGGCTTAATTTTCTGATATTTTGTAGAGATAAGGTCTCACTGTGTTGGCCAGGCTAGTCTTGAACTTCTGAACTCAGGCAATCCTCCTGCCTCAGCCTTGCAAAGTGCTTGGATTACAGGTGTGAGTCACCGTGCCAGGCCTGGTTTTGTTTTTCTTTTTTTTTTGAGTTGGAGTCTTACTGTGTCACCCAAACTGGAGTGTAGTGGTTGCTCCTGGCCACCACAGCCTCGACCTGCTGGGCTCTGGCAATCCTTCCACCTCACCCTTCCAAGTAGCTGGAACTACAGGCGTGCGCTGCCACACCCGGCTAATTTTTTTGATTTATTGCAGAGATGAGGTCTCACCAAGTTGTCCAGGTAGGTCTCGAACCCGCGAGCTCAAGCAATCCATTCACCTCAGCCTCCCAAAGCGTGGGATTACAGGCTGAGCCACTGAGCCCGGCTGTTTTTCTTTTTTATAACAGCTTTAGGGAACTTGAATTCCTCCACTTAAAGTGTACAACTCGCTGCTTTTTAGTATATATGCACAGAGTTGTGCAACCATCGCCACTGTATAATTGTCTGCAGAACAATTTCATCACCTCAAAAAGGAAACCCCACACCCATAATCCCCCAAACCTCCATCCATCCCTGGAAAGTACTTGCTGACTTTCCGTCTCTCTGGATGTTTCTTATACATAGAATCACACAACATGTGGTCTTGGGTGAACGCAGAGGTTTCAATGAAACCCCTCCTGGTTATCCCGCTGCACCCTCCCCAGGCCAGCTGCCATGTAGTGAGTCTGAAGCGCTGCATTACTGTCATTCTGCAATTTACCCCCCCGCAACCGACGAGCGACCTTGTGAAGAGGCAGAGGCTGTTTCCGTGCTTCCTGCTGGAGAAGCCCACAGTGGTTTTCTCCACATGGCCAGGCCCTCAGACCTCTGCATGACTCTCTCTCTGGAAGCCCTGCTCCACTTTCTGTGATGTCTGTGGGTCTTGTCTGCCTGTCTGTCCATCTGCCTTAGAGCCTCGGTCCTCCTCTTCTCGTGGGTTTTGTCCATCTCTGTCTCATTTCTGTCCTCGTCTCTTTCTCTGAGTCCATCTCTGGCTCCCTGTCCCCCTCTCTCTGGGTCTCCAACCCACCCTGGGGTCTCCGCTTGCTGCCCAGTCTGCCTGGCTCCCTCTCTTCCCCTTCTCCGCCCCCAAGTCCCTGGTCCCTCTGCTGCTCCCCCAGACTCGAGCCCTGCCCCTGCCCCTGCCCGCGCGTGCCGGGCCTGACCACCCCTCCGCCCGGCAGGCCCGTTCTTCCGCTACCGCACGTACCTGGACTGGCTGGAGCA